TGGTGGTGGTGGTGGTGGTGGTAATGCGTGTTGATGCACCCTAGCCAATCCTCCGCAAGGCAGGGGTGGTTTTGTATAGCGGCCAAACATAATTATGTTGTTGCCGCTACAGAAACAAATGCGTTGTCGGGATGCGCTTTCTCGCGACCAAGTTATTTTGCTTAACTGTGCAACAACATCAGCCAGCAGGACACCCCTAAGGGGTTGACTATCAATGACCCGTTACAGATTAAGAGCTTAAGAGCTTGGTCGCTGTCTCTCTATCAATCCACCCCTTGTGAGTGGGTATGGTTTGTTTTGCACAAGGCCCTACAAATATCATGAAGCTGAGGCGCTCCAATTTCATGACTCGAACCTGCTTTAAGTTAAGTTATACATATGGTGTCTTGATACATATGCCAAGCCCTTTGAGCACGATTTGATCATGAATTGTTATAATATACATTAACATACAGTATATAGTTGTTCAAAATCAGTACAGCACACAAAACACAAACACATGCTCAAACCAATTCCAAGCAAGAAACACACTTCGAAAAACATTGCGTGATTCAGAGTATGCCGCAGGAATGTAGTCACTAAATATCTTTTCTGGCTGTGTGTTTGTCTCCAATAGAAAGCCTTTGTTTAGTCTCACACCATGGAAGCAACACTTCTCTCTCAACTCTCGGGGAGTGGTGAGCTAAGTTGTTTCAGTCTCTTCCAATCAAGTCCAGCGGAATTGCACCGACGTGTCCATCTCTGGTTGAAGTCCCAATGACGCCGTAGATGATCTGTAGATGATCCGTGTCATACGACGCTCCGACGGATTCTTCGCGCGCTCGGGAGACTACACCCTCCACCCGAGCGTGCGCTCTTGCGCTCGGGTACGGTGCAGCCTAGGGATGGAGCCTCGAGTTCAGGCAGTCCTTCACTCCACCGTCCCTGCAAAAACCATCGGCCCTCGTGCCCGCACTGCCAAGTGGCAATGTCACCGTCCGGAGTCTCCAGCAAAGCCGGCAAACCATCTGGCCGATGCAGGCAATGCTACTACTGTAGCTACCATTTGCTACCATTGATCTGGCATCCCAATTATATACACCCGTTCAAATCATGGAAGTGGAACACCACGTGTCTGTAGAGGAAAATGGTCGTAAAGTGGTCCTCCGGAAACAGAAACTTGACTCGATCATCCATGATTGCGAGTGGTGATGGGATCTTAAGCTTCATCTTGTTGAATTTGCCATAGTTATGTTGGGTGATTTGATTGTTTCAGATTCATAGTTTTAATATGTTTTAATGCAATTCCAACCCAAGAAGAAATGGTGGTCCATGTGCAAAGAATGAGTTGCCGCGTCGAACAATTCAGGGAGTATAGGTCTCTGAAGTGAAACCACGTGGATTCGCCAGATCCACCAATGCTTGGGCGAGGTCTTTACACCGAAAGCAGAACCGATTCCTGCACTCACTGCACTCCCAAAACCGGGCAATCAGGGAGTGCAACGGGTCTGCACTCTTCGGACACTTTTCGTGTGCGCTGCAGGGCATCCATGCCATCTTCCGTACCAAGATCTGCAGGGTTTGGAGGTCTTTGGTTGCAAACATGGCTGATCAGCCAAACCTTTTGTGAAGCCCGACGCTACGACTGTGGCGGCACTGAGTTATACTAGCTATTGTATGTTCATCGAGTACCCCGGCAATCGCCCCCATTAGTTGATCAACAATGCCTATAAGATCCGTGTCCAAGAAAAAGCGTCCGCAAAGGGTCCCGCGAAGGGTCCCCAAGGGTTACCGTTTCAGCGGTTGAGATGCGAAATCTTGGGCCAACCACAGTGAAGAACGCCTCATGCACAACCCTGTGCAGCTTGCCTTCGGTAAAATACCTCGGCCGTCGAGGCGCAAAAAGGCACAAGGTTGGTGTCAGCATGGACCCAAAGGTCTCTCCATTCGTGCCAGCATGAACCAGCCCGATTGGGAAAAGAATAGAAAACAACCTATATAATAATATATATATATATATTAACGTTTATAATAATGAACCTTCTCCGGTGGAGCCAAACGATTGGTTGCCAAACGATTGAACTTTCTGAATGGCTGATCTGACAATGCCGTTCTCTAAACCAGTCATACTGTGCGACTGTGCGTATGACAGTGATTGCAAGGGTGTCATTTTGAGTACAGATTTGACCACACTTCAGTTCTCATTCTTGAACTTCCAAATCACCTTCGAGGGCATTTGAGGCCTTCGAGGAGGTTGCTCATTGAGGGTCACTTTTCTGTGATCGTTGCACATCGTCACCCAGGGATATACACTTCGAAAAGATCGTTGGCAGCAGCGTCTTGCACGGATCCCTTCCTCAAACAGACGGTGCAGGAGGATACAAACCACATCAAACCACACTTATACACTCCTGCCCTGGTGTGTGCTTTTGCAAGGCCCAGGCAGACAAATATGCCAATGTGACTCAATAACTGGCTCAAAACATTTCCCAGGCTCCCCATCCGTTCGGAATCTAGAGAGGTAATTGCATTCACTTTCGGAACAATTTACACAAGTCGACACAAGTCTCTTTTCTTCTGCTTATTTCCACTCGTCCACCCGTGCTGGTTGGATCCGGAGCCGAGGAGCAAGTCCACGCCATACTTCCCGAAGCCCTCGCGCACTTGGAAGGCGCTCAAGCTGTTCAGTGGAATCCTCCCATTGCGTGGTGAGCTGCGTGAGGGAGCTCGGGGCAGCAGATCTGGAGCTCCAACAATTGAAGGCTTCTGGTGGGCTTGGTGACTCACCAAAACGGATTTCCTACAATGATGCATTCCTTAAGGATCTCAAGAGAACACCCGGGACATCTTTCCAGCCACGGCTCCACAACTAGCTCAAAGACTGAACCTCCTCTGGGAATTGCGGAACATATCGTCTTCAAGAGAACAAACACCTTGAGATGACAAATTCTTGATTGAGATCCTTCTAGGTCCTCTAGGTCCGGTACTTCTTGCTTTGAGGACCCCTTTTCCGTCCCCTCACTTGGCTTGCACGTTCTCCGCCGGCTCTCCGGGGACTCCTGAAGGGAAGCGTCACGGAGCCTCAGCGTGCGAAGGCCCCACCGCGTATTCGGCCAACAGCTGCCTGTTCGTCTACGACCAGTACGTTACAAAGACTATGCGGCCAACAGTGATGTATAACACAGGATGCGCTGAAGTGTCTGACCCCTGCAAGACCTTATTAAGCTCCTCCCCTCGAGGAAGATGAAGGTTCTGAGCTCTGGGTGGCTGTTTGGTCTGAATCCGACACATGCTGATGACCCAGCCACCTTTGCATACCTGTTCAAAGAAACACACCCATGAACGTGGTCTGAATACCTTGAAACCAACAAGGACATGCGTTTTTAGTTGCCAACCTGTCCGTGCCCAAACACCCCGCAAGACAACCTGACAAACGTTTGCAGTTGGAAACTTCACTTTTTTCACCATCTTCACTTCAGGAAGTCTTCTGAGCCGCTGAGTGAATCTAGGCACCACTAGCTCCTGGAGCTGGACCGCCTTCGCCGCCGCCGGGCTCCAGGACGGATCTCCTTGGCGAACTGCGCCTTCCGCACGCGCGCGAGCACCACGGCGGTGGGATCACGCACGTCGCCACTCAGCTCGAAGGTGTGCGAGCTTCCAGGGCTCAGGCCCATGACTTTCAAGGCCACCTGGGCACGGAACATTTGGAACTCAAAACACAGAGTTGATGGCAAAGACAGGGTCCTGTTTGGTGGAGTGGACCTATCCAGTAAACCCAACATCAGAATATCCAAGCCACAGAGGACTCTAAATCCCGAAGGATCTTCTCGCACCGTTCCTCCAGCTTGTTCACTTTCACGAAGCGGTCGATTTCAGCGTCCACGTCGATCCCTTCGGAGCCCTTTCGGCGCTCCTTCCGCCGACCCTTCCGGTGCTTCCGCCGACCTTTGCGGCTCGCCGAGTCGTACGACGACTCGCTGCACCGTCGACGGTGCCGCCGGTGCCGGCGATGGCGCCGGCGCTTGCGAGGCGAGGGGCTTCGAGAGTAGCTGTAGGAGCCTGACAGGTCGTCCCGATCCTTTTTGGACCTCCGGCGTTTCTTCCGATGCTTCTTGGCCGACCCTTTGCGAGGCCCTTTGCTCTGGTCCTTCTCAACCTTCTCTTCTTTCTCTTCTTCCTTCTCCCCCTTGTTCTTTTTCTGATCTTTGTCCTTCTTGCCTTTGCCCTTCTTCTCTTCTTTCTCCTCTTCGGACTCTGACTTGGATTTCTCTTTCTTGGACGCCATCTGCTCCAGGAATTTGGTCACCAAACTCACCAGGTCCTCTTCCTTCGGCAGAAGCTCCTCCGCCAAGTCAGAATCTGCACTTCGAAGCAAATCTTTCACCTCTGCAAAGTCCTTCTGCACTGACTGCACCTCTCGCAGCAAGCTGGAGAGTCTCTGCTCCCAGCTGCCCTCAGCCGTCCGCTTGAGAGTCGCGTTCAAAGCATGGACCACCTGACCCAACAAAATTCCAAAGAAAGACCTTTTATGAATCAAGGCTTTCAAAATCAAGGCCCAGTTTTTCTGGCCCTGCAGTTGTGCACCTGACTTGACGGACCAAAAAACAAGAAGATCCTCCTCGAGGAGACACGGACCTCACAACATCAAATCCTCCACACGTAATACAATCACATCAAATCACCATATTTTGAGGAGCCAACCTCACATCAACCCTGGCCAACCAAACACACTGAAGGCTTGTTTTGGCGGCATAGGTGATTCAACACACAAGTTTTAAAACATGGCAACATTATGTCAATTATTTATGGCCCACTTACTCACATCAAACCGATATTTGGACTGGCTTTGCTTTGCCCAGACTTCCTTCGTGGCGCATCTTTCATCACCTGCTGCCTGCGTGGAAGCCACTTCGGCGTCCGTCTGTCGCTCCAGGGCGCGAAGACGTTCCTCCCGAATCCAGTGTTCCAGATTGGACTTCAAGTTCTCCACCTCAAGTTTGAAAGGATCTCCCAGGGAGGAAATTAGAGGACATTGGAATGCTCAGATCAATTGTTAAGTTATGTTTGTATTTTGTTGGGTAAAACACACCATTCCTGGTGTCGGTGGCGGGTGTTTCCACCTGTTCTCAGTCAACTGAAGTTATTCTGCCTTTCTCATCAATGAACTTCTGCTAACTTCCCAAAGGCCTTTTTTGAGGAATCGGCATCGGCATCAAACACGTCGTTTTTCCTATGGAGAAAGGATCCCAGGTGCTCCTGGGTGGTGACTTCCCGGATTCGCGTGACCAGTTTACCAGATTTATCGGACTCACTGGCCAATGCCAGCACTGGTGAATGGGGAGATATAGCTGTGGGGAGATATACCCAGAGCACTACTGTGGTCTATTCTGTTCATTGTGGTCAACCAGGATACCCCGATGTTGTTGACCAACAGCAATGGTGGGGAGACTTGGGACGCCCGCCATCGTGGACCGCCAACACCCGACGCACACCACGCGTGTGGGCCACGAACAGTTTGCTTTTAACCATAGTTCAAACATGTTCAAACATGAACATGTGGACCATGTGAACTTGAATTTTCTTGAACCCTCCAAATGTATGACAGTTGACTGTTGACATGTCAATGACCCCAAATTGGACTTGAACGCTTCGAATCTACCCCAGACCATTGACACTTCTCCTTACACAAAGTGCTTCAGCCCGGCAAGGCCAGTTGAGGCACGGTGGTTCCGAGAGCATTCCAGGCTAAGACGTCATCCGGCATGGACTTGGAGTGACTGATCGGGCGATGGCAAAGAACACGTTTGGACATGTTCAGCATGCTGAATGCAAGCATTTCTTTGTCGTTCCCGCAACGCAAAGAGCCATTTGCATTGGAGAACATCATATTGACCTTGAGCAATTCCAGGAACAACTGATGTACCTTGAGTCAGTGAGATGAATGATGAAACCTATCTTGAGCCAAAACATGTTGGTCCATTGGTCCATGATAGTTTGCCAATATCTGTGGTGACTTGTAATTGGATTTCCCACCATAAGCCTTCGTGGAAAAAGGTCAGAACTATACGACCTCTGGTAAACAATACTGAAAGAAACTGAAAACTCTTCTGTACATTTGACCCCTGAACTTCTTAAGATTAACATAGAAACTGTTGAAACAAAACATACTCTCAGCCCCTTCTGACAGATGCCATGCTTGCGCGCTAAGGAAAGGGTATATCCTGCCAGTCTCTTCATCCCCAAGGGTACATGGAGTAACTCCTGGACAACAGAGTTTATTTATAACACGAGGTCTTTCTACATGTTTCCACCACAAGAGTTCAGACAGGTCTTCAACACATATGGCTTGCATGCAGCAAAGGCCCGTAGGGGTTCAGACCCTGAAGGTCAGGTGCAGGTGTCCCGAGACAGTTTGGAGGTCTTCAGGATGATGCTCAACTGAGAAAACAACACAATATAACTTAACTACAGGCTACAGGATTGGAGATGAATTCTGAGGGTGAAAGGCCACACTCAAACCACAAGGAGTCTTCGAATACTTGAAGAAACATGCACACACAATCCAAGAACCAAGAAAAACAACACTGGATAGAAACTGATCCAGTGGTTCTGTATAGTGGTCCTCTAAAGTAGAACTAACAGGTGGCCGCTGGCCGTTCTAGACCTGGTCCTCTGGACTGCCGAAGAGGAGCCGCCGGGAGCATCGAACGTCCACTGTCCGTGCTCTAGCCTGGCCGTTTGGGGCACTCGTGGGTCTGCCCACGTCTCGTCTTGTTGGGGCGTGGAAACCATCCCAAACACTAGTGTTGCAGTGGTTTTCTCTATCTTACGTGCGTAATGCAGGATTTCTTCATCAACTGTAAACTCTGTGCTCTACAAGACCAATGCTTCTAGTGTGATGAATGAATCACAAATCCACCTGGCCTATGGTGTTGAAATCGACCTCTCGATCCACTCAGATTGGCCGAATTGGTGCCTTTATGCGGAAAACCAATGCCCAGTAGACTAGAAGAGGAAGTCCCTCAAGTCCCATCAGTCTGAGCATCTTTCGCCATGCCAAGGTCCGACCAGGTTCGGTGGTGACCGTTGTGATGGAACGACCGACAGGGTCCATCCACCTGGACGGTCCCCATTTCGGTGACCTGAAGAGGTACACACACCCCGCCAACTGTGCGCTGAAACGCCCGGACAGTCTCTTGGGTCTGCTGGCTGGGACGAAGTATGGCTGGGGGGGGTGATGGCTGGGATGGGAAGCCAATCTGTGGGATGAACGATTCCCCCATCACAACATCGCCATCCCACAGATTGGCCCAGTTCATCACAACATCCCAGTTGGCATCTGCAGTTCTGCAGTTATTCCATACAACATCTGCAGTTTTCATCACAACATCGCCATCCCACAACATTGCACAGCCATCACACAGATGGGAATAGTTCATCCCACAGATTGGGTTCCCATCCGAACATGTTGTGTTGTTTTGTCATCACAACATCGCCACACGGAGTGGAGCTGCTTACCGAAGGTTAAAGCCACACATTCATGATGTTCGCTGTGCAACAGGTCATACAGAACCCTGGTTCCTTCAAACCTGAAGACCCTCAAACCAGTGTTCAGTCCAAACTTCTGCTCTGCAAAGTGGCTCTGATTTCATCAAGTAGTTCTCTAACCTGTCGCATGCGTTCGCAACCATAGCTAACTAGCCTTGGAACCTCGCGTTCCTTGGCCGTTCGCCCACACACAGAGCTCCAGCTCGCACGAAAATGGCGTCGCTGTCCAGGCCGAGTGCTCGACCAATCCACGCGTTCGGTGCTTTCATTTGCGATTCCATGTGCATTCCATGAACCAACTCGGTCAAAGCACCCTCGTTGCATTGGCAGGCGTCCGGAAGAGGCACATGATCTTAAGTGGCAATGTTCATCTCATCACAAAACGCTGGCAAACAAAAGGTGGAAATCATTGTGTCCTCGCTTCCTCTGTTTTTCTTTTTTAATACAACCACCTCCATTGAAGTAGCCGGTCAAGTGGTTTTCCAAGTGACTTCTGGAGACTACAACCATGGATTGGATATGATTGGATAAAGAGGGAGAACGAAGAACATGGAAGGACGACAACGATCTCCGACAAACTAAACACAACAATAGTCAAGGTCTCCCAAAGGAACCTACGTAATGGGTGACTTGAACGGCACAAAACTCAATGATTGTGTGGTCGTACAACTTTCAGCAAACCACTGAAGCCAATTTGAGCACCGTGCCATCTTGATGGCAAATCACAGCAAGTATTTCGCTTCTTCACAACACATGCATAGTAGTTTTCCGTTGTCCCTACTGCATCGACATCATGATCGTGGTCATTTTCACTGTCATGGTCAGAGTCATCGTCGTCGTTTGATTCAGTGACTTGACCCAGCAGTGTGTTTCAAAATGCGCGTCGTAAGAACTACGGCATCGTTCTCATAACATTGTCAATCTGTTCAATTGCTGTCATCTTTTGCATAACATTTAACATGATTATCACTCTCTCAAAGGAGTATCATCCTTTGCAACATTGTCATTGTAATCAGAACAAAGCCATCATGTTCATGAGTTTGCAAATTTATCGTTGCACTGGTTTCTCATTATGGCCAATTCCATGCCCTCCACTTGTCCAATGACCTCTGCTTTTCGGAACATATATGGATCCTCGGCCCCTGGGTCTTATTTGTTGCTTCCCAGAAGTCCATCCACAAATCTAAGGATGATCATCCCTGGTTCCACAAATCCACCAGCCACTGGCTCATGCCTAGTACGCTCCATTTCGGCCTGTGGGCACCGATGAGATGAAATGCGATGGCGTACTCCAACTGGTCCTCCCACTCGTCCTGCCCGCGACAAAAAGCGCGAGTTTACCACCAACGGTGAGCTGGGCGTGTGGGAAATCACAGGATACGGATTCGTACAACTATTGGGTTGAAGTTGAAGTTGACATGGTACACATCCCAAAGAATTCGGGCTGGGAGGAGATCTCCAAATACTGCCCCACCAAAGACCGTATGGTTTGAACATGTTTGAACCATTTTGAACCAACATAGCGCTTCCAGGGGTTGTTCAATGGAGACCTGCAAATGACGATTGTAGGACACTCCTGAAAGCAGCAGGAAGAAACTCTTTTGCTTGGAGCAGTCTTCCAAACCACGACATCAGTGACATCAGTGTGTGTGTGTGTGGGTGGCAATAAGATCATGTGCAAACACCCTCTTTACCAATCAACAACAATGGCACAGTGGTGTGGATTTCCAGGAATCCTACGTTCCCAGAAACTGCACTGCATATCTTAGGAAGGGGAAAGCATAGGGAAGCTGTGGAAAGAGCAGGCACGACCTTCGAAGTTCTTGATCAACAGGCACTAGGTGAAACTCAGTTCAGCAATTCCTGAATAGGACACTGTCATCTGTCAAGGTCCCACGGTCCCATGCTGTCGTCTATCCTCCAAACCCCTTCCCCCATGCATCTCGTAACCCTGGTTTTCTCTCAGCGTTTTCTATCACTTGAACTCTCTCCGCTACTTCCCTGTGTGGCTCGACGATTCGATTCACAACATCTGAACGCTGGTCTTTCCACCTTCAGGACAGGTGCAGCTGGGCCACGGTTTTTTCCCACGGACGGACACACCGCGTTGCACTTTGGCACATGCGCGAGCCCCACGCGCGACCCGAGGAATGGTGGTCGGTGGAGGGTCCGGAGACGTTCTCAAGCATTGAACCCTCGGTCTACGCACGGTTTTTCCTGTAAGCGCTCCGATGGACACAAGGACGCTACTAGGGGCTCCTGGCCTTACTACTAGTAACAAGAAGCTACTAGGGGCTCCTGGCCGTACCACTAGGAGCAGGGACGCTCCTAGTAGCTTCTTGCTCCTAGTAATAAGGCCAGGAGCCCCTAGTAGCGTCCTTGTTCCTAGTAGTGAGGCCCTTTGCTCCTAGTAGCTGGGTCTACGCACGGATTATCCTGTAAGCGCTCCGATGGACCCACCAAATGTGAAGAATGTACTACGGCAGTGCATGAACCATCCATCTAAACTTCACTTCTCCTTTCGGCTGTTGCCATTAGACTCTGACTCTGCTTAAAAAAACACAGAACACATCCGAAAACTAACGTCGCAAATGAAGTTCAGTCAAATGATGTCAAATGCATGCCCGGCAATCCAAACAAGGTTTTTGTCAGTGCTTTCCCGTTCGTTTGCCTCCGTTCCAAAACATGTTCCGTTCACCAAAGAGTGGATGACTGGGTCTACACCGGGATTTTGCATCGGAGATGTAAGCATACCTGGACCTGAAAAAGGGGTGTCCTGGCTGGAGGTCCCTTAGTAGTAGTTCAGGGGCTTAGTGCTTGGAGACCCCGACATGAAGGTGCTGGTACATTTAATCATGATCATTTGTATAACCAATCACCCATATGCAAATCAATCTTCCCACGCCACGTTCTTTCATTGGATGACCTCCCCGACTATGAAAGGCACCAAAAGACCTCCACTTGCGATCATTCCGGGGCTGGACACTCTGGAGACTGAAATCATTGGAGTCTCAACTGATCTGTCACTCAAATGGGATCGGGAAGAGTCGGCTTGTATGCGTTTTCTCGTGGTCCACATGGCTTTGGTCAAAAAAAACAAGTCTGGGTTCATCTCGAGATCTCAACCTCTCCACCAGTCGCAACTCATCCGCTGAAGTAAGACCCTAAGCGTGCCACTGCGGCCGCCACCTCGGTCTCAGCTCCCCCATCGGCCAAGCGCTCGGCGAGAGCCTCCAAACAATACCTGGCGATGGAAGCTTTGCAGCGCAAACCGCCATGCAATGGCTATGCGCAAGGGAAACACATGCGAAAACCTCACCTCGTGAGTTGCTGGTTCCACCGGTCTAGACCAGGGGGGATCCCACATCTCTAAACAGTTCCTTCGGTTCCAATGTAACATGTTCCAACAGTTTGCTTCCACAGTCACCAGGTGTTTGAGCATCCCTCACAACATGTTACACATGCCCGCTATTGTTTATAAATGAAACATTATCAGATATTATCAGCATCTTGGGTGCTCATCTGCTTGCCCCTCTGACCCACATGAACATGTCTGGCTGGCCCAAAATGTCCGAAAGCAAAGGGATGTGTGCTGTAGTTCATTCTGACCAAGTTCAGTCGAGTAAGGCAAATAATATAGCTTGTATGCCATCAGTCATGAGAGCCCTGTGTTCCAGTAGTTTGCAGCTCAGCCATGAACAATGTAGGACTTGGCCACCTGCTTGATGTTCACTACGACGTTTCAAAAAATCAAGTTAGGACCCTCCAGGTGGAAGTGGGGATGTGACCACGTACTGTACCTCAATGTACCTCTATTCCTGTGTAGCCGAACGCATGGGACTACCTGCAAATGTGCAGCTACCTTGATTTGAGGATTCATGACAAACCTCCGATACTGAACAATGGACCTCCGGACCAGGCAACTATCATCAGATTGTGTTTGGTAGCGGTTTTATCCTACACAATAATACATGGCTTTATCATGAGTAAGGAACTTGACTGCTTATTTCCACTGTCCCGTCACACAAGAACCTGCATATGTTTATGCATCACGCTCAGTCGAAAATCTCCCATCAACCTAGAGTATGAAAACAGCAAATAAAGCCCAGGACACATTTACCTACAGCTTGCGTTTGTTCTTGCAGCAATGTTTTGTGTTCACATATGGGCCGACTTTAGCCACCACCTCTTTGATTTTCCCAGACTCCCCGAACCTCACTGCTGCTTTCGTGGGACTGGGTCTTACCAGGGAGGCTCATCCATCGGATCCAAAAACGGCAACAGCAAATCCGATGGATGAAAGAGCCCATCGGACTGGTGGGGAGAAACCTTCCCTTCCCCCGAAACATCCTCATGTGCATGCCCTGAAGAAAAGACCGGAACGAAATGGGTATCATGATGCAGAGTGAGGGCAACATCAACAAGGTCTCTCACTTATTTAGTGAAACTCCTCCAAACTGCTCTTGCAAGAAGGTGGCAACATGTATTTTGTAACATCCTGAGTTGACCCAAATACTTTGAGTCAACAACAATGCTACAAATACCCCAGAACATCTGCAGGTACTCTGTGTGGTCCGCACACAACAGCAGCACTCTAGACCAAACTGACTGTCTGTCTTGTGGCCATGCAATTCCTTTTCCTTGCGTGCTTAGGTACAAGTATGACTGTGGCCAGTGATCTTGCCACATCGTCCAAGCTGGCTGTATCCTGCGCTGAGCTCTTGCACTGGACACCGCGATGAGGAAATGCTTCATGGAACGCTTCCAAATGATCGGCATCCGGTCCTCGCACGCGTGCGATCCCAACAGCCCGAGGCTGGTCCAACCAGTGTCAGAGTGTCCATGAATCTGCTCGTCCCCCATTGTACAACACCCAACATTTAGAACCAGTAGGTCGATTTCACAACGAACAAAAAACAGCCAAAAACAGCGTGCTAAGCTGCCCGCTGTTTTTACCAGGAGACTTTCTTGCGAAATGGCCATGGGCCTTCGGACGATCTGAACTGGCTGAACCCCTCCTGGACTACAAAACAACACCAACTGACTACACAGTTGTTCATCCGCGAGAATCTTCCCAGAATTGCTTCCACTTATTGCTTCATTCTTTCATGGTGCTTAACCTAAAGTCTCCAAATTGCCCTAGGTTTTGGCCTGTGACCACCCACAGCCTCCCCAAGACAAATCTCCTTTCATCTCCATTCCAGACAAATCATGAAAAATCACCATCTCCAATACTAGTGTCGTTTCATTTCCATTGCAGAAAGAAACACTGGACTCCCGAATTCTCGTCTAGTTTTAAACAAATTAGGGGGTCCCCTGTATGTTAATTAAACTTAATTAACGGTAGACATTGTGTCTGATGCGCCATACTCGCCCAGGCACCCATCGTCGGTTCAATGCCCTCCGCCGCAAATGCAGTTGGTATCCAGGATTGCCCCTAAGCACTGCCAGGGGGATGCAAACAACCCCCTAGTTCCCAGCATTCCAAGTTTACGAAGACACTTTACACAATTGATCTAGAAAAATGGAGGCTGATCCACTGATGGGTGAATTGGGGCGGTACTCAATCAAAGGATTCACAACATGGGTGCTGGTTGTACCATCCTGTCGCCTTCACAACCTCCCCAACATGTTGACTCTCTGGGTATGGTTGGCCCACGTCTGGAATGGAGGTGCTCCCAGCTGGGGAGACACAAGAATGTGTGTATGTGCACAAACACACACACACACACACTCTTGCTGAGCATTGGGGCATTGCCGGTTCTTGACTTCCAAGAGGTCAATAAATGGGGTCCATCATCTCTTCTGGCAATGCAAGTGCACCTTTGTGTGTATCCAATATAACCTATACATCCGATCCCTTGTGGTCCAAGCACCCAGAAACAACCCTTGTGTAAGCATCAGCAAGTGATGGATGTTTGGTAGAAAGTCCTGATTCCCAAGTGAACACCCTGCGCGCCGGACATCGGTGCCCAGTTGCATGACAATCGGTGGCAGCTGACCCACATCTCCAATGGCATCTTCATACTCCTCAGATGGGAGAGCTCTGTGATCTAATAGAAACTCTGAAGGGTCTCAGTTCGTCACTTGGTCTTGTGTCCTGGTAGAAGTAACATTATCTTTTAATGCAAAGACTCACGTATTGCATGTCCCCGAAGGCCAAGTAAACCCGCCCACTCGGTTTTGAACATAACAAGACCAAACATCAAACCATTTCGCCTATAATGTATACATTGACATATAAACACCTAGATATACCTAGCTTTACTGAATGTCTAGCCGGGTTCACATGACCGGTGTGAAAACCACCACAAAACCGCTACAAACACTTCAGATTTTCATCCAAGATCGTGAGCCAAACAATCCGAGCATCACTCGCCTGTGGTGAATGAAGGCGTGGCAGGACGTTCCTGAACACAATCAGGACGATCCAAAGACGAGGTTGGTAGGTCGGTCTCTTCTGCGTGAGGAGGGCCCCAATCATCCCAGAAACATTTTGGGAACTTCGATCGAGACGCCCAAACGGGGAGAGTGACTTAAATGAGTCATACACATTATCACGCTTTGGTTCCTCTGAACATCAACGTTCCCTTCAAAACATCAAAAGTTTTGGTTGACACCGGCCCTCCGCAGGTGTTGAGGTGAAGTATCCTGTCTCGTGGCTCACTGCCCCACCACGGCATTGTATGCTGCTGATAAAAGTGTCTATCTTACATATGTTCTGGCGTTCTACATGGCATATAGTTTGGCATTCTATCCAGCATACATTCTGGCAAAGTTTTAGGCATTCTATCTGGAAATTACTAAGGCATTCTGTCATATTCTATCTGACAAAACTCTGGCGTTCTATTGGGCAAATATTTTGGCATTCTATCTGGCATATTCATATTCTGGCATTCTTCTGGCAGTCTATCTGGCATATGTTCTGTCATTCTTTCTGGCATTCATTTTGACATTCTCTCTGGGACATGTTCTGGCATTCTATCTGGCAAATATCTTCTGACCTTATTTTGCCATTTCTTCTGACATTCTTTCTGGCTTTCTTTCTGGCTCAATTCCGGTGGTGCCCACGGCGATCTAGCCCTCGCGGTTGAGGTCCTGTGGTGTCCACTGCGACCTCGCGCTCGCGGTTGAGGTCCTGTGGTGCCCACTATAAACAGGCACTCGTGGTGGAGGTCCGGTAGTGCCCACTGCGATCTGGTGCTGGTGGAGGAGGAGGAGAGGAGCAGGACAGCTCTGATAACAACCCAGGCAACCGCCGAGTCCATCCGTCAACTTAAGTCTTCGCCACTAGGATCCATCCAGGTGTTGGCGATGCAAATCTGTTCACCAAGGCGCTCCTGTCTCAGCAAGGCCTGGTGCAACTGCCGAGGGCTCACAGGTAGTGCAAACTCCTGAGCTGCTCTTGAACATGCGCCGTGTCGCTTGATCGGTGGGTGGCCATGCCCTCGTCAGTGCTGTGCTTTGCCAGGTTCTAGTTGATGTCTGGATGTTCCGTCGAACAAACATCTATCCAAACAGCAAAGATCCAAAATTGGTCTTGTCATGTCTTGCAAGTTTGTGACTTAATATATCTTATAAGATCAATTTTGGATTCTGTGGTGCCAAACGACCAGTTTTGGGAGGGTCGACCACAAAAAAGCATACCGACCACATCGACCAGAATTTTGTATGTCAATGGAAGGTCTAGGTAATATATATATATATAAATATATATATATATTACCATAACAATCCATAACAAACATTTAAACTGTTTTAAACTATTTTGACCTTGTCTGGTCTTTCACGGGCAAGGCGACAAAGAAAGCCAAGTCTTGCACAATCCGACCAAAAATGACCAAACATCACAAATTGAAACCGACTCCGGAAGGAAAGGAAAAACGGTCTTCAATTCATAGGTTAAAAACAACAAAAAGAACAGGTTATGTTTGTCTACTTTGGGTCATGACATGGTAGAAATCCCGGGGTGAGAACAGTGCACGAACCCATGACACAAAATAGTCACCCTTCATATGCCTGGAGATTGAAACGATACTACAGTGACTGACAAACACACCCACTCCTTCAATGTGGATTGACGCCCTTTCACTTTCATCAACCAGCGAGATTAACAATATTAATATCCTTCACTTGGGGTTTGGTGGTTCAACTTGACGGAAGGCTTGAATAAGTTGTTAATCCATTATGTTCTTTTTTCAAGCCTCCATGCACATCTATATTGGAGGTCGTGTAGCAGTTACTGCTTAAACATGGGAACAATCAAGTAGGCGCTGATTGAAGTGAAGAACAACGACTCAGTCCAAGCGAACATCTCATCTGGCTCTCCTGCAGCACATCCTCCAAACTTGCCTGCGATGCATATCACAGGAGTCGCGGCAGAGTTTTCAATCAGTCCAAATGAGAGGAAGGTTATGAACCAACATTTGTATGTAAAAATTCCAGCAGTAGATCAGTAAGAACAGTATGTCAGCAGTAGATCAGTAAGAACAGTATGTAACCATATATAACCAGTGGTTCCAAAGACAACAATAAGCTTATTTGACTGTAGTATACTACGATCGCTTAATTGTTTATGACTCATGCATGACTGACTTATTGTTCCGAAGACTTGACTCACACCAAAATTCTTTCCCAATGACTGCCCTGCTGCACATGAACTTCGGACCAATTACAGGGTTTGGTAAATCCAAGCTAGCAATCATCTCCTGGTCAGTCTGCGCCCTAAAAAACAAACCACAAACACGTGCAACATCTGTGAGACTTCTCGCCTTCGGGAGTGATGCTGACCCAATGAGATGGTCCTTTCGAGCTGGACTGGTCTCCTCCCACATCCATGCACTTTCTGCAATCTGTGTTGCGAGGCGCTCTTCTGGCGTTTTGGCTGCATCAGCGATCTGTTGTTGAAAATCCTGCATGTCGCGCGACCGGCGTAGCTGTCGACCAAAATCCTCATTGTGGTTGTTTAAAATGATCGGCCTATATATGTCAGTAGTAGGGTCAGTAGTACGGTATAGTAGGCCTATATAATATTAAAAAAAAAAATATATGAAAGGCAACAATTAAGAACCCCCACATCGAGAATGACGGCCCTGCTCATGACACTGGCGACTGGTTAGTAGGTTCAATATACTACAAAAAAATCCAACACCATCCCATGACCCCACCTGCAAAGACTTCGTGGAGAGTTGTGGCACCATGTCATAGCCATGGATGATACCTATACTGCAGTGAGATTCTCCGTCATCGAATCACCGGATGGCAGGTTGTGGGGGTCTGGGTGGATCCAGGTGGAATGCGACCTGGTCGCCCAGGGTTAGTGGTCACTGAAACTGACTGGTGTGACACGTATGGAGATGAGGGTGGTTGGATCCTATGTATGCAATAGTGAGGGAAATCACACTCATTGATAAGTTGGTTGTTGGCCATCAATGAGAAGCAGGCACTCAGCCCAACCTGCGGACAACCTTTGGGCAAAAAAATACTATGGGCGTGACTGGTAAATGTTTTGGAGGAGGATGGTGGAGGAGAACAAAATAGTCCAACAATATCTGCCAACATGTCCAGTTCATCTCAGCATATCTCAGCGCTCCAAGCCACCCACCACATATCTCTGCATTTTCGTGGCCAAGGACTCGTCAACCACCTGACCCCACATGTGCACAAGACTTCTTCATGAGATCCATGTGAACACAACATCCATGCGGGAAGGAAAATCGGAACAAAAACACAATCAACCTACGAACACATTTACTACTAAGGTATGCACATGGACCCTCCACCAAATAGATGCAAATCGATCGGATATGATCGGAAAGTTGGAAGGCCAGGGTATGAAGAAATGTGTTTTCTCAGAAATGGGGGATCCGCCCGACCACACACTGGAAGGGAGATACAAACTGCATGATCAGCATGATACCGAACTAGTTGCAGCCAGCTCAAACACCGAACAACGATTGGCCGGTTTCGGCGGCTTGGCGCCTGCGGGACCCCGAAAACGAAACCCAAGGTATCCAGCTGGGCGTCTTCTCGGAGCAGCCAGGCCAAGACCTATAGCAGCACATCCACAAGGGCGAAGGAAGTGCTGTCCGAACTCCGGATCCACATGGGTCTCTTGTCCATTTCAGGGTGGATGGCGGCAGACAGCTGCAGGAGGGAATCATCATCTCTATTCAGTGTCCGCATTTCCCACAGTCCCAGGTCGTGCAGCATTGTTCCAAAATCTGAAGACTGGGGAGGGCGGAAAACTACTGCAGAACAAATACCCCGCCAAAAAATGATGATGACTCCACCTAAAACAACTGGTTGTTCCAAATTGTGAGTTTCTTTGTGTGTGTGTGTAAGTGGTTCACATGATTGAACTATAACTCTATTCCGGGCATCTCAATCCAGGGCACCGCTGCCACCGCACCACCCAAGGAGTGCCCCGTGAGGATGACACGCCGACCGTCCCCTGCATAGGTAGAGGCAGTAGTGCTGGTGAATAGAACTCAATGTGGAGATGTGAAACCATTGTGGCGTGCGGGTCTTATTGTTTTCAGTCAACATTCATGTAGGAGTTTGCTGGAGAAAACCTGGAAAGTCAAGGTCACGACTCCTGGAGAATGAGCCGCCTCCAGGTTGATATGGTTAAGTTATGTCGCAAATTGCCGTTCACATCTGCAAGTGCCACGAAACGGGTTGACTCATCGTCAATTGGGGTGGGGTTTCTAAAGCTGGTCAACTAGGCACGAAACACGCCAAACACATTGATCCATATGAGCAAAAATCGAAAACTCCACGTTGACTTGGTCGACCTTGTCGCTATTCCATGCTGGCCGCTTCTTTTGGTTCCCACTTGCGCTTCCCAATTCCGATCCTGTTTGACCAGATTCGATCAAAGCCACCTTCTTCAAGAAGTAGGCTCTCGTGGTGCTGCGGCCGCGACTCTCGTGGGGCGAGCTGGCGCCATTCTCAACAGCTTTGATGTTTTTCCTCCTCTTTGCAGTCTGAGTCTTGCTCGATATTTGAGATAACTTGAGGTAACTCCACTGCAGCAAAAATGAAGTCTTCCCTTTGGATGTTGCGAAACGGCCAAAAAATGGTCAGGCCGTCTCGGGGCGCTCGCGCGCTTCGGATTAACCGCGTCTTCCCGTCCGGTTCTGAACCTGCACGGCTCCATCAGCGCCATGATGTTGCAGTTCTGCTTGCGCTATTTTTACGAACCCACCATAGAAGTGTGGCACTTGGTATGCGCAAATATGCGCACGTAGGATGAAAACAGTGTACCCCCATAAAACAGCGCATGCACCGCGCAGGAACATGTCTGCAATGGTTTGCATGCGTCTCCTGAACTTCTGACATAAGGAATTCAAGCTGGCGCTATATCATATCTATGATGGCCTTCGGGCTGCAAACTGCCTGCCAGCGACTTTCCAGGCAAATAAGGCAAATATGAAAAATAGCCACGCTGCGCTGACATGCGCGAGAGCGTCTCAAGATAGGAGTCCAACACCTGTATGGCACAGGGCCCACCACCGCTGCATTGCGATGTGCTTCGGGAGTACGTGGGCATTGCGCTAAACAGTGTTTCTGTCTTCGCTCAAAAAAGTATATTCCATGTTGAACCGCCGCGCGGTCAACCGCAAATGCTACTCGCGCAAGCCGGAGCACACCCTAAAAGTCGGCATCACTTCGTACATGGGCAAACGGCTTGCTGACTGCATTGAACAGAAGTCCCGCTTGTCAGCAATGACAAGTTCCGCTTGTCTTGAGTTTTTCTCACGTCAAGCAGCTGCCTTGGTGGTGGGACATGCTTCTGGCCTAGCTAAACTCAATGCCGTGTTCTACACTTTCTGGCTCCGCCTTTCTCGAATGTTTCCGCCTCAATAGCTTCTGCGCCACTTTTCGGGCTCCTCTCAGTAAACGGTCTCAATTCGATAGTTTGAGACTCGCACTCCACTCGTCACATCACAGAAATTGTTGAGAACAGGATGCTGATTTCCACTCATAGCCTTTGGTCACTCGCACCGGGAGGTTCAAATACGCAGGTTAGACCCCGAAACCAAGCCCAGTGGTGACTCTCAGTGTTTGGATGTGCGCGGCCTGGCCCATCTTTTGCGGTGGACCGCCAAGTCATATTTCCGATTTCCGGGATATATGCATTTGGTAGATTGGCTTCAGACATGAGCGGATACCTCAGCCCCAGCGAGATTTGTCAGCTGGCATGAACTTTTGGTTTCGATGCCATTGCGTACGGGCCACCAAGGCATTCATAAAGTTGGACGCGCAACTTGGCATTGGCAACCGGTAGGCCAACCATTTTTTTTCTTGCAGAGTTCACGAGCCTTGGGCCAATACTTGTTGCACGCTGTGAGAGCGTGGTTAGGTCAGTTTCCTGCCGGGCATTGCCGCCCTACCTTTTCCAAGTATGGTGTGTTTACAAGTGGAGTGTGGTTACGGTTGCAATGTGATGAACGGATGGCCCATGAGTGGATGCAGTGGTTGTCCGACCGTGTCCCTGGATTCATTACATCTGTGGGCAAACAGCTTGGATGGCTTCCACCGGCCGAAGGGGTGCCTGTTCCGTTGCCACGGATCACTCCTTGGACTTGAGGCCTGTTGGCTCAATGCTTTCGTTAGGTTGCCCTCAGGTGCCCGTTGCAGTCCGTTCGCCGACTCAGCGGGACTCAAAAAGTGTGCGTCAAAAAAGTGTGCTGATTTCCACTGTCGCTTGTCCGCAGCAGCTCACAGTGCAAGCTATACGTCCGTCTTATTTTGACATCTCCCTTGACTTACCTGTCCTTTTCGCTGTTGGGCTCCAGCCTCAAAGGCTCGGCGAATGTAATTCGCGTTGAAGATCTTATTGCATGTGTTTGAGCGCAAGGCTGAATACCCCAAAAAATATCATCGCCTTGGCTTTTCCCATGTAGTTCAACTAAGAAGTTTATTGAAGCCTGGAAAGAATGGCTTTGGTGTAGGGCTACGTGTAAATTGGCACTTCTAACTTCCAACATGTGGGCCGCAGTCCGACCATAGTCTATTTTTGTTCCATCCTGGAATAGATGTGAATGCATGTAGTTGGAGCTTTCTTTTGTCTGTTCAATGACGCCTGAGTAGAACTTCTTTCCACACGTCTAAGCCAGGAAAGTGAAAGCGGGTACAACGTATACAAGGCTCCATAGCTCTGCCCTATGTGGGGCGCCCGACTTCCTGAACCACTTCTCTATTTGCCACGACATGGCAACTGGGCTGGCTGTGTCTGTCTGCAAGTTAAAGTTTAGGAACATGAACGTGCCTTCTGCATACATAAGTCCTATGTACAGGGTCGAAGGGAGTGGTATTGTTCCAGGGTATCGTTCCTGGCAATATATTTACCTAGCAACTAACTCGGACAAGATCGTACTGCCATGCGGGCCGCCTCAAAAAACTTCTTCAGCCAAAAGTTTGGGTAACTCACACACACACAGAACGCAATTGCACATTTCCTTTTGACATCATTGCTCATATGGATCCCATGATTTTCTTGGGCCGCTCGTGATATGACCTTTTATGCCTTTCAAGGGTCTAGATCACTTGGAGACCATCGAAAGATCCGCGCTGAAATCATTCTGAACTGGAAGATGGTAGATTCCGGTAGATGTACTGGACCACTGGACCCTGGTTTGTGGAGGTACTTACGTACTCGAAACGCCTTAAATTCACTGACTCGCAGCATACGACTACGCGACACAAAAGCATACGACATTTCTGATGAAATGGTTCCAGTGGTGCACCTCTGCAGCTCTGTTATGGGAGCAGCGAAGGAGGCGGAGGGTTCAGGGGACGGTCACAGGCGGAACACAGAGTCCTTTGCACACCACGATTTGGAGTCTACATACTACCTTTTTCATCCATCTGGCTACGACAAAAATGTGACTATACAATGCTACATCACATGCATTACATGGTAAAGACCTGAAAGACAACCCAACTTGCCTGTTTGTGGAAGAGTGTCTATACAAATTGTCTTTCAACCGCAGTTGAGTTTGTAGAGTTCATCAGGAAATGTTGCACCCCATGATGCACCCCCTGATTTGCGGGTATGGTTCTCTTCCTGGAGATCGCACCCCGAGGATGGGAAGGTGAGTTCTGCTGATTCTGGCAGCTGCCTGATTCTCGTCTGAGTAGTGGAAGAACCTTCCTGAGCGGCCAACAACAACAGGGAAAATAGCAGGTTCTGTAAATACTGTATACTATGTCAATCTCTTTATTTTATGCCCTTAAACTAAACACAGCAAGCTAGAATCTGATTGGACAAATGAGGACTTCCGCGACCAGGAAAAACATGCTGCTTAGGTCTGTGGACACGAGTCAAATTAAACTAAATCACCCTTGAGCACAATCCTGCAACATCCTGCAACACAAAATCCACTCCAAGTACATTCGATACACATCCTCACTGCAGGACTTCCCATCAATTGGTCAGTGACATGGCTGAGTCTCTCGTAGATCCATCGAGCACTGTGCAGTGTTCCTTCATGGATCACATGGTTTCGGTATTCCGTCTGGCTAGCATACCTCATGCGGGTGCCAAGCACGGCGCCCGAGCATGCAAAAGGCGCGGTGCCACATCAGCCCCGAAAAGCTCGAGGTAGAAAGCACCAGTGGAAAAAGGGCACCTAAAGAACTTTCAAAAATAACCCTTGTGTCCAGTGTCCGGCCAGGGTTTTCTAATAACATTTACTGGAAGTAGTGACTTCAACAACATCGCCAACTCGGATTGCGAGGAACTGGTGAGTGCAATGTTGGAGGAAATACAGCTTTTGTAAGCTGGGCGATCTGCTGTACCACACACAGTCTAGGCGTTCGAAACACGCCGAACAGATCACAAGGCAGGCGGCAGTCAGGCATATTGTTGCCAAGGGCCGCATGTATGAATGAGGTTACCGTTTTTCTTTTGAAACCTGAGGTCTGCAGCAACACCTCTCCAGAACAAGATGTGTTTGCTGTCTGATGATCTTCACTGCTCAATTCAGAAAAAATCGCAGGTCTGGGACCTAGAAAAATATAATTAAGACAATTACAGGGGAATCTATGTACAAGTCGCCTGTAGTTCATGTTTGTTGCTCAGGCGAACCTGCCGTGCAGCCAAATGCGCCAATCTACCCATCAGAGGGCACTCACCTGGGTCATACCGTCACAGGCCGCAGAAGCCCAGTCATTTGCGGCGGTCCGGAATCAAACATGACTCCCATGCGAGCACCCACTTCCCAGCGAGCTAAAGTCCTCCTAGATACACATCCGAGATGATGTCCGACATACTGAAGGTTCCCCTGATGGTCACCACCAGGCAGCCAGTCTTGCGATCGCGGAGGACCCAGTAGACGGGCTGAAAGGCTTCGGCGACCAGGGCCGCCTCTAAGATGTCCTGAAGAATCCGCGAGTTCGGAGCTTGCCCAAAGAACTCCACACTACTGACGCCAAAATCGAGGAACCAACCTCCCCACTACTCATTTGGTCCACCTCGAGTCCTGCAATATTCAACACCCCTTGCTCATGGGACTGAGAAGATCTCTGGATGCTTGGATTCGCTTCAGAAACCGAAACCTGGATCCTTTGTTTTGACCTTCAAGCAGCCTTCGGTCTAGCCGGTAGCCTTCGTAGGAACCTGGAAACAAACGTAAAAATATCACGTGGTGGCCACACCAGGGAGGTGAAATCAAAGGGGCCGAAAGGAACCGTTGGACTCACGCGCTTCGGAGCTCCGTCCTCCTGAGCCACACCGCTCAACTCCTCAAATGCAGCAGATCGAGAGATGAGGCAGCACGCCTGTGACGTCCAAAAACCGCGACCGGCGGGTCAGAATTGACCTTCATAAACCAAATCAATCCCAAATCTTAATCCACCGCCTGCAGATGATTGGCGCATCATTGGATGTCTTTTTATGAGTTTCATGTCTTTTTGCTCTTGCGGCCTTCTTTCGGCAGTTGCCGTTCACGACTCCGGTTTTGGGTCTTCGGTTTCGCGTTTGCGTAGGATTCACATTGAAATCAAACACATCGACCCTAGAAGCGTCCTTGTTAGTAGCGATGCCCAGGAGCCCCTAGTAACCCGATGTTTCGCCCCCGGGTCGTTGAACAAAGGCCCCCCCAAGGCGGATGTGTTCCGAGGCGAGGTTCTACCGGTTTCACGGTGGCTCATGGGTTTAGCGTCTCTTGGCCCCAAACGGGAATAAACCACACAACTGGCACACGACATGGAAAAAGACCAACAGAAACATCGAACGCTAAGAACCCAAAACAAATGTGGGTGACAAACACATCTGATAATATCTGATAGCTTTGAATGTTAACCTTGCCATGCTTAGACTCATTCGGCAAGGACCGAAGGACTCGAGTCTCAAACCTCTTGGCTTACTCACAGTTACCTGCCAGCAATCCGTCCGATGTGCTACATTGGCTGCTGATACCATCCTCAAAAAATGTGATCTAAGTCAACAGCCAGCGCAGTTAGGAAACAATTGGATTGATAGACCCCCTAAATGTGTTTCTTTTTCATCCTTCATTGTGTTTACTGTTCGCCCAAACTGCTTGATGTTCACCCTCCCTCATACTTTGGCCAATTGAGACTTTGTCAGGCTATCACTAGCCTTGCAGCCCTGGATGCCGTGTTGCCCAGTCGAAACCTAGCATGTTCACTCCAAGATGCCCGGGTAAAGAAAGCTCTCGTGGGCATCACGACCTTGTACGCGAAGAATGCTTTCAAACCCAAGGCCCTAGACTTTCTCGAAAACAGTAGACAATACCGGAGACATTCCAGAACAGCGCTATGGGGCACCTTGGACCTAGTTCAACTGTAATAGAACAGCACCTTTGATCAACATAGATCAACAGAACAGGCCGAGAAAACTGAGATCCTGGGCACCACGAACCTCAAGAACATGTCCATCGCTTCACTGGAGGACAAACCATGACAAACCCATCAGGACAAACGGTGTCTAATTGCAGTGTGAGCCACACCATAGAGCCCTTTGTTGTAGGCTGCCAGTGACAGCCGGGCAAAGTGTGCTGCAGCTACCTGGGCAAAGATTTCATCGAACTATTCTTGTTGCCCTTCGCCCGTGCCCCGACTTTGCAAACAGTTCCTCTGCTGCTCCTCCCCTGATATTCTTCTGGGCCACTGCCAAGTCTAACAGCATTGTCGCAGGGAGCTGTGGCAATCCCTCCGGCGGCTGGAGCTCCTGTCGCACCACATTGGGCGCTGCAGCTTCGCCAGCTGCGCCTTGCTCGACGTCTGGCCAAGCGTAGAGGTCCTGGGCAATACGGCGTGTACCAGCGATGTATTGTTTGAGCAGCTGCTTTCCCAACAACGTCAACAATAGCAACCTATGATTCCGCCCAACTTCTATCTATACCTCACACCCAATGAAACTTGATAGAAAGGTCCTTCCATCCAAAATACCAGTTTTTGTGGTTAGTCTGACTAGTCTCTAGTTTTTCACCCAAACCCCGCGACATGAACGCTGCATCAAGATGTCCGGCGTTTTCTTTGGCTTTTGAATCCACCGTTGTCCCAGCTCCACGATGAAGGTTGAGGGACGAGTTAAGGGATGTTAAGGGGCCCTTGCGAACCTTCTCAAATCACAGCTACTGGTCTGAAACACAAGCAAGTATTTAATATTGTGGATGGAATATATTCTGCACTCCTGGTCTCCCCCTTGCCTTCTGCTGGAGACCTCTAGTGGGGCCTGCAGTCTTCACCAGATGCTTCACCAGGTGCAGTGTTTCCATCAACAAACTGCCGGCCTGTCAGCCGTGTGTTAAATCATGTTAAATCCAGGTTATTCTATGTTGATCTATGTTATATATTCTGACATATATTCTGACCATCCAGGTCATCTTTGGCGTCACTAGTGATGCTGAAATGAAATGATATAGAGCAAACTTGGCTGTGAACCTGGAACAATATGCAAATGGGCTTCTAAAATGTATCCACTGTTGCAATTCTTTTGGCACATGGAAACGTCAAGTGAATGGTTAATCTCCTTATAACAGCCAAAGGAGCAACCATCATGAGCCGCCGAGCGGCATCTTCCGAGGTTTGATTGCTCAAGACGTTCAAGCCTCTGCGATAAGCCTTTGCCAATCTGCGTGATGTGCTGGATTGCAAACCATGGGTCAGAAAACCGATCTTCTGGTCGAACCGGTTGAGGTGCTTGAAAAAAAAGGCTTCTAGCCTTCTAGCTGCTAATGGGCTAGGAGCAAGGAGGCTACTAGGGGCTCCTGGCAACCCTACTAGGAACAAGAAGCTACTAGGGGCTCCTGGCCAAACTACTAGGTGCACGACCCTTAGATGGCCGTGGCGTTTCGTGAGGACCGTCTAATTGAACATGCGCACGGCGCTGTAGATGCAACTGCAAATTCCACCTTTTGCGAAATCACAAAACTACTTTTCTTTTGCGCTCGCCGGCTCTGCTTAGCGACGTTGCACAGATCGTTCAGCAGCAGTGTTGGCGCCCATGGTCCAACAGATCCTCGCCACATGTACTGCGTGACTAATTTACGGTGCTCTGGGTGTTCTTTGATTTAATTCCATGACCATGGCCAATTCTCCTAGGAAAGGATGCCGGAATAAATCGTTTCAAGCTCAGCCGATCACGATCGGCAATCTGCGTTCCAGCTACATTCGAAATCTTCTCGTTTCTACTTTAAAGAATCTTCCTAGTCCACTCTTTGTTTTGATGAAGACGAGACGATCGAAACGATGTAGAGCGACGTCATTGTCTTGGCCCCCCCCCCCCCCCCCCCCCCCCCCCCCCCCCTTGCAGTCTTAGATATGTTTTATTGTTTTGCTATGCAACGAAGACCTGGAGCTGGGATGCAAAAAAACGTCGAAAAAGAAAACATAGCAAGAAAAGCACACGGCCTACCGGGGGTCGTGGTCCAACTGTAACTACTAGGAGCAAGGAAGCTACTAGGAGCAATAGGGTCTCTGAATCCGTTCTAATCAAAAGATCTCCTCTCAGCGAGTAGCGCAAACGGCCTCTGGCGCCTTCACACACCTCCGAACCAACCAACATGTTGGTGGATCTACCATGGCTTAATCCTTTATAGCCCATGCGCCTATCCAACTCGCGACTATATCCTCAAAGTACCAGGTACAAGAATGTTGACTCCATTGACTGCCGGGGGTGGGAAACTGGAAACCAAATAACTATTCAGACACTGAAGGATCTGTAAGCTGCAGATAAGCAGATCCTTGAGGATAAAGATCCTCAAAGTGTATCATGGATGACTTATCTGTAACACCACTTTGCGGAGAAAGTTGCAGATAAGCTCGGAGCGGACTGCACGGTCTCCACGCTCAGTCGTGCCAGGGTGCTCCTTGGATCGCGTGCTCCAAAGTGGCACGGCTGCACGGCTCAAGGTACCCAAACCCACTGACAAAAGGAGAAACATTTACCATCTGCAGTTCTCCAGATATTCTTAGATTTTTGCCAGGCGTATGTTTCAACATGCATGGTAGAATGTTTATTGAAGGCCTGTGGTCTCCTGCGAGGTATTTTACTTTGCATGTGACTGTTTCTGCAGCAATGTGTGTTTGTTCTATTCTCCTAGAAGATCTTGGCTTGGAGCAAAAGCAATACAACAACTGGAGAAACATAAGCTGCTCCTTTAAGACATCATGGGAAGCCTTTGGGATCCGTTTGGTACCTGAGCAGAACCGTTGAGAAGCTTTTTGTGAACACTCTCATCTTGTTGTGCTACATGAATTGGGTTCCCACACCACCCTGACTGGTGATATCCAGCAGTCTGTAACAGGTCAAGTTGTTTGAGGGATCAAGATTCAATTGGCTGCAAATGATGGATCAGCTCGCTCTCATTTGAATGAGACAAGGCGCACGATGGCATCTTGTTGCGCTTGTGCAGAGTCAAACTGCAGTGAAGCGCTCGAAACACCTCCGTGACGCAGGCAAAATGGGTGACAGTAATAATGGCTAGAGCATCCAGTCAAAATCACTCTGTAGTGCGCCCCCAGTGGTTCCAAAGACTATTGAAGGGCAACGAGTGGTGCATGGCCACAAACGTGGGTGAAGGATCAACAAGTACCAACTAGTACCAACATATGACTGTGAGGATGAACACCCATCAAGCGCCCGAACGTGTTCGAATGAACTACTGGCAAATGATTCGCTAGCACAAAAGCATGGCCATTTGATTGTTCCAATGGACATGCGTGCGGTAAGCCCACAAAGGACGAGTTCACACAAAGTCTGGCATGGTTGCTTATATAGTAAAGGAGAATCAGCAAGCATCCCATATCCATCATCAGTTCAACCCTAGGCCCTATCTTGACAATCCAATGTAAATGTTTAAAGGCTAACCCAAGCATGCTCATACAAAGCTCCCAAACACAAGCACTGGTTGGTTTTGTTCAACCCACTTGAAAAAATATGAGTCAGAGGGTCTGTTCTCATCCCCAAGTAAGGGTTGAAAATAAACAGATCCGCAACCATCACCTAGAACACCATCACCTAAAAAACATACTGTATCCGAAACCATCACCGAACAAACACCATGAAAACCCGCTCAGATTCGCTACATCGGACCGTCGAGTCAATGGTAGAACGAACAGTCGGTGACCAGCTCCATGTGACCGGACAGGGCCACACAAGATGGACAGTATGTATATTTAATGCGGCAATGTATAGTATTGTATAGTTTGGATTGGGGAGGTGTCGACCACAAAGCTGTCAAACTGTCAGAGAATGCGCATCTAGCAGGAAAATGAAAGGGCGTCCCTTTTGGACGCCTATCAAATAGTATCACATAGTGTAGGGATGTGTTATACACCTCTTTCAAGTCGGGCCTAAGGCAGCCCATGTCCAAGTTGGGTGAGCTTGCGCTTCTTCTTTTGTTGCCTAAATGCAACGTCCAAGCACTCTTCGGAGAAATGCAGAAGCATCGCAAAAGACACTTCCAACAGGATTGGTACCTGAGAGGAGCAGCCCACCCCGTTGGAGATTGAATGCACTGAATGAAATCACCCGTTACCCGTTACCCCCAACACCACTGTACCCCAAAAGCTAGCTCCGGAGCTGCGACGGACGTGTGAAGGACGGTTGTGTAATGAAACCGGCATGCGAACATACATGTTACAAGTCAATTGGTTGGAGGTTGGAACACCTAGCCCAGGCCATACCAGTACTTGGCCTACATACATGGGCAACGTGTGGGCACCCAACCTTAAACAACTGATCTATTATTGGCATCCTCGACCCAACAATGCATTGATCTGTTCAGCATATTTAGTTATTCATAGTTATTCATTGTTCCTGATTTCTCTGTTTGGAGTGTTTCATTGTCTATCTACACGAGGAATCACGAGGATGACAATTACAATACGTTCATATACTGTAGGTCTTTCGCTGATTGGCTGGCTCCCCCCATCTCCATCATTGCTTCAGCCATCCCTCTCTTCGCCCGAGCAGCTGCTGCAGCAATCTGGCGCTTACTGCTTCCCGCGCACGTGCCCCATGCCGCGTTCTCGTCGAGCGCGCGGACGCCCGCGCAGACGCCGGCACATGGCCATTAGGTGCCATAGTGAGTTCTGCTGCAAGCAGGGATCAGGAAGGGGCGAGGTGGGTTTGGTTGTGGATTTGGTGGGATGAACTATCCTCATACCTCATACCTCCGATCAAAACTGCTTGAAGTCTCCACTATGGGCTTTCGGCCATCGCAAGCTCTGGGGTAAAGACTCCACAGGCATACTGCCTGCGACAAGGACATGGGAGCCATGCTGGATGGAACATCTATAGCAACAGCGGTTTGTATAAGTTCCAACTGTCACGCATGGTAGCCAGCTTCAGTCTTCAGCACATGTTTGTTTTTGGATCCCATGTGGTCCCCAAATAGATGGTGGAGTCTGACTTTTTCCATCACTTGTGTCACGATAGTATTGGCATTCTGCACATCAATCCCTTTACGTCTCAAAAGTTTAAGCAGCTGAAGCTTTGTCAAGCTGCGGATGCAAGTTCGAGCAAGGAGCCGTGTTTGATGCCCGCGCGGGTGCTGTTGGGGTCTGACACACACCTGCAAACTCAAAGGCCACGATCGGAAGAAAGGTGAACATCACCAATGGACAAGAAAATGGCTACATGACGCTATATTGGCTGGGTAATGTTGGGTGCATCACACTTTGTGAGTGGATAATGGCAATGATCTAGAAAGACCAAGGGTACAAATGTCTACCTTTCTCAACCATATGGATCGTACACCCTACGACTCTGTGTCGCATACCCAGTGCAAAGCCAGGTGCTTCGAATGCTTCGATGCTCAAGGAAAACCCTGAAATGAGAACCTGTAGATGTTCGGGCGACCCCATGCTCCTAACGTCCCGGACACCTCAACTCCAGTGTAGACCAACACGACCCCCACAGTCTGAGCCACGGACGTCCCCAATGAACATCCAAATTCATTCTTCTGATCCCCAATTCTATGAGCAGTATATCTGATATATGCTGATATATCTATAACGGTCATATATGCATATATGGATATAAGGGTCCATAAGGGTCATTCTCCAGCACTGCTCAGGAAAAACAAAAACTCTGTGTGAAGCTGCTGCTGTTAACCGCTCCTTCAAAGGCTTGGAGCGTTCTTCTTCACCGGTTCCATTGACAAGACCTGTTTCCGAAGTCCACTCCAAAAGAATCCTCACAAAAAAATACAACGGTTTTCTCTGCACCCCTCGCGCTTCGACACCTGACCGAATGAAAGAACACCAGTAATTTACATCTGTTGACCAGCCATCAGGGAGCCAATGGCATGGAATCCTTCTTGAAGTAGACGCTGAAGTCCGTCATCTGCTTGGGCCAAAGCTTGTTTCCTCAGTCTGACCCATGTACGTGGGAAACCTCTCACCACCAGCCATAGTCAGTGTGTTGGTAACAAAAAATATAGTTGCTAGACTCTGGGCCGCCGCTGTGGACGAACATGGGGATAAGAGTTACACTCACAAATCACATGTGTACATCTACACCATCAAGGAATCATTCCTGAGCTTCTGTCCTCATGTATTGTCACCATGTACCCCCAGTATTAACACGTCAAAGCAATACATAATCAGGGGACGGTCAACAACAGGTTTCCACAAACAACTCCAATGTCTCAGCCTCAGCTGCCTCCTGGAACGAAACTCCTCTCTGCGTGGGCCAAGGTGCCATCCCAGGTATGTGCGATGTCATAGAAGCTCATTACCTGACTGATCTCGGAGGTGTGCCCTGCTCCCGGGTGCTGCGTCACACCCGTGCCGGGCCAAAAGCTATAGGGTCTCCCTATCAACCGCAGAATCTATGGGGGCCAAAGGAGCGCAGAAACCATGGGAATGCCATGCCACAAAAAGCTTTCAAGAGTGGCTCTCGGTAAGTCTTGGACCAAGGCCAGGTCACTTACAGTATACTACCTGGCCCTCTTCAACTCTGCCAAAAGTACATATACGTAGGAATACGTCCGATGTCACAAGGCAGCGTTTCAGTGGTGCCATGGGAGGTCATCCCTGCGCCACCCAGTTGGGCGCCAACCGAATGGGTGTCGCCCCCGATATATAGTAGGATGGGTGTAGGACAAGAAGACATGTGACACACGTATGAGGCATGCTTTGCCTCCTACTGCAGTTGTTCTCGAAATCCGCACGTGACAGCGTGGGATGTCCACCTTGGCACTGTTTTATTGCAAGAAAGCATGTTCAACAAAACACCACTTTCCAACCCATTTTTTTTCTTACCTTGCACAAACATACATAACGTGCCCACAAACCTCCTAAAGGACCGAGTACATGACACAGAAACACGGCATCTTCCCACGAATCGGCTGAAATATGAGGAGCTGGCTCAGTGTGATGACTTGGTTTCACTCAAGTCGTGAGCTTCCGATACGAAGCCGAGCTCCGAGAGCCTCCCCATCCCCTCCGGTCCCAGGTGGACCACTCCAGCCCCCGTCCCATCTGGGACACCGCACCCAGTCACGCATGGTTTGGTTCGGGCCCAGGACCGCTTTCCAGGTGTTGTGCTTGGGATCATTCAAGGCATCGTCAAAGACTCCTGCGAAATCGCAGGAGTGTTAGGGGGCGGGTGCCTTGGTGCTTTCGGACAATACCTGGATGTGAGTGTCTATGGTCCGTTCACTTGGGATTCGCTCATGACTCAGAAGTAATGAACACCTTGGTACATGCTGACTGATGCAGTCGGAATGTGTATATATTTATATTGTTATATATGGCAGAGTTGTTGTGCTCCCTGCTGGGAAATACAATCAAACATGTACACTAGTCATGTTGCGGATATGTCAACCGACAACCTATCTGCAATTATCTATACATATTCCAATCTGTGTTTATCACGGAGCTGGGAATCTTTGATGTCAACCCAATAACTTCACCTCCTGTGGCGTGAGGCACCGGATACAGCTATTCCCACATGAACTCGTCTCTCACAGATTCTCTAAGGGCATAACCTGGCCGTAATGACCCCACAATGGAGATTTACATATGTCATATGTCAAGTAAAGAAATCAACCCGGCCTCACGTATTGTTTACAGTTAATATTTGTATGTATATGTGTATATATATATATATGCACTGTACCCCCAGAACATGTGTCTTTTCAAAAAAAACACGAGACGAGACATGTTAAACTCTCGCTCCCAAGCGTTACCAGCGAACAACATCTCCTGAGAGCGAGTGGTTCTCAGAATTCAACTTCCGCAGGGCACTGTAGAAACACGTGGTGATCGGCACGGTGAGCTTCCTCCGCACCGGGCACCGGCAGTTCTTTCGATTGGGCACTTTTCTCGGTGAAACGAGATGCGAAAACTCGGACGTCATGATTGGCTCAAAACCATGGACGCTGAACGACGCGACACTGTATTTTTCCTAGTTTTTATATATGTTTTTAAAACTGACCTTCTTCTTTTGTGTGGTAACATGTGGTAACTGACCAACACACTCACTCCAAAAAATATGCAACAATATTGACACTCCAAACATATCCAAAACACGGTTTCCTCATGTTTGTTTGATGGCCTGGCGGGAACGATGTTCCATCAGACCACCAGTATGAACACCACATCCCGTGGGTGCAGGTCGTTGTCTGAGCGTGTTTCAGTGCAAGCAGATTTCGGAGTCTGCTTTGACCTCCAAACTCCAACCAACACAAAATGTGTGGCCTGCTGGCCTGGTCGTGCAGGATGCAGCCAATTACGTGTGATCAAGGCAGTGGCGGAAAGCAAAGCAGGCTGTGGTGCACTGAAGCTGCCTGCACTCTGATAGCTTCCTGCGCACGCTCACGACTTCTACTACGACCCATGGTACCTGGCTGCTTCTTTCCTGTGTGTCCCAGCTGCCTCAGAAGACAACGTTGATCCGAAAGTCACCCTCAGATTTCGGCGTTCCAAAAAGTCGTCAAGGACGGCTGCGGCTCTCGCGGTGCATGACTCTGACACAGCCAGGGGAACATGCTGCACGATGCCAAGGTACTCCTCAACTGCAAAGACCTGGGGATAAATGTTGTCCCATGCAACGCCCAACAAGTGCAAACAAACTCACGTTTTGCACAGTACTGAAAGCACAAGTCTGTAGCAACCGATAGCTTTTCAGTGAACTTGCAGGGCGGTCTTTCCACATCGTCTGTTGGCAGCTCCAAGCGGCTCGATGCTCCAGCAAATGTTGCGACGGCGTTGCAAAGGCAAACATATCTATACATGTCTATACATCTCAAAAAAGGACGCCACACCATTAAATGCATTCAACGTCCTGATCTGGTTGAGCATGCTTCTGATAAAACCCGCAAACACTTCTGAATCATTCTGAATCCCTCCAGGGACTCCAGGGTGTTCAGGCTTTAGCATCAAGGCTCGGAGGGGGCGTCAGTTGGTCCAACGTTGATTCAATCTGCTCAACATCAGAACAACTCCGAGGTGTTTCGGAGCGCCATGCGCCATACAGTGCCCGAAACTGGTGGAAAGCCGGCCGCTGATGTCGCTGGAAATCGCCATCATGGAAATATCAACATTTGTCCCTGAACACCTGGTATATAATGCGATAATGCGAACAGGATTTCCACACCATGAGTGAGGACATGGGCCAAATCGTGCCAAACCCTCTCATCCACAACCTTTCACCATCTTTCTTTCACCCAGATCTTGGTGCTTTGGACTCACAATAATGACATCACCTGCAGTCAAAACCACTTGGCAGTCTCCAACTCCACTCCCTGGTCTCTGGCCTCAGCAGGAATCCAGGCAGCGCTGCCTGGCGACATGGGGCTCGGCATGGATGGTGAATGGATAATGAGAGAATCTATATACTGATAGATACTCAGCCCATAAGTCATGGTTTTGGCAGCCAATGAGATCATTGGATTGCCATGGATTGCTTGATCCATTCCGCTGTCCATATGCTGGGCTGCTGCCCAACCGAGTTGCCAGGTGGCTGGAGTCAACCAACACTTTAAAAAGAGTTCTTTATCTCATGAACCAAGGCGGTTCGACGTTTCTGCCCACATTGGCCAGTGAAAGATCCACGACTTCCCCCCAAAAAGGTTT